ACTCAAAAAAGACAAAAGCCAATCTAATGGAGAGGTAAAAATGCCTGCAAGCGAATCCTACTAATATCAAGGAGGACAAGGGCATATGCTTAATCATATAGTCGAGGTAAGTTCAAAATACTCATTACTCCAACCACCAACATTCTAGAACTTGGGGTGTGCGATAGACTTACCTCCACGTGGTGCACCCTGGGCAACGTATACTCATACGGCAAAAAGGTCTATTAACCGGCAGTTGACTTCTCACTTCAAACTACCATAGCCCGACTGCTTGTCCTATTCAACCCCTTCAACAGCACTCATCTTGCCTTTTTCTCTACCTTTGTGTCTGTCTGCCTCTTTTACATCTGTGAATCGCTCTTCTGCTCCCCTTCCTCGACTTTCTGCTACTTTGATGACCCTTCCCTCTTTGAAGCCCGAAGTCAACTGAAGGGCAAATGATAGCTATCAAAACGCCTGCCATTTGAAATAAATAAATACATTCTAGAACTTATAAGACATGAGGCATTCAAACAGGCAAAAAGCACAGCCAATCTTAAAGGAGCTATATTGAATTTGAATTGAAAATAGATAAAAAATGAAATCACTACGAATAATAACGATTAACTTACGGGTAGTTTAAATGCGTCTAGAATAGGTGAGTCATTTTCATCTGCATAGCCATCATCAACACTCGCGAAAGTTCTCGCTTCCTCGTCTTCATAGTTCGATGGTGTAACAAAGAATAGGGGGTCCGAGTAGCCAAGAGCACTCTCCACGGCACCATAATTCTTCTGCCACATCTCCTCATCCATTTCCCATCTTTCACGGATTTCTGGTGGTACGAGAGTGATCTCTGCGCATTGCTGCTGGCACAGGGCATCAAAATCACCAGTTGCCATGTTGATGAGGCCAATGTCGTTGAGGTCTTCCTCGAAGAGATTTTGAACCACTGTGTCGTTACCTTGCATCTCGGCGGCAATCGCAGCGTCTTCAGCCAGGTAGGAATACCAGGCTTGAACATCTCGTGGCTCTTCGTGAAGATCAAAGCATTGGAGGAGCTATAAAAACGAATGCCATTAGAGTGTGCTTTGAAGGTGAATAAAACACAGTCATGACTGTTGGCTATGGTTATTCAAGATAGAAATTTTAATCCTCACTAAAATGTCTTAGTGTATTCCAATTATTACAATTGGCTGTAAGAATAATGTGTATGTGAAAGCACCAACCCCCCCC